AGCCTCTGATACTTGAGAAAATGGAGGGGGCGGGTAGCAAAAGCTTCTTAAAATAGCAAATCTTCTGAGTTAGAGGCTTTGGGGAAGAATTCCATATTGCTGTCCTGGTAGCACTCTTTGCTGGGATGTTTTTCTTTCATTTATTTGTTACCATTTGGGGAAATTACTGTATTGTGAAAAATGCTTTTTGGACCAAAACAAAGCTATTACGGGTTATTTTCTATGACTGTTGCTGAGTCTGATTTTTGTTTTGTTTTGTTTTGTTTCTGATGCGTCTGATCATTAGGTGGTAATGATTCAGTCATTATGGTTATCTCTGTTCCTGGCATGGTGATATTATCACTCCTAAGCTATACCTCATAGTGTTTTGTCAGCAATTTTATTGGAACAACCCATAAGTGCCATTGTCTTGCTGGCTGAGCTTCCCAGCCAGCATTCCATCTTCTAGGTCTCAGAGGTTCTTATGTTATTGTTTTAGTAATGCCTTGTCCAGAAAAGCCTCGCTGTTCTATTTTATTTTATCCCTATAGGTTTCTACAAAGCGCCTTTGGTGAAGAGTTTTTAGGTTTCTATGACTGGTCAGGAAATTGTCGTTGAATTAAATAGCTTTCATGTATCACTGTGTGGTGTGTGGAAAAGCACACAGGCTTTAGACAAAGCTGGGTTGGCTAGCCTCCATGGCTTAATACAGTGCTTTTTTTTTTTTTGTTAATACATAGGACTCGGGAGTGGTGCAGGACTTAAAGACAATATTTGTGTTAGGTCTTACTTTAGAGCTGGTTATTTAATTGACCTGGGGTAGTTTGAGAATGTTCACTTATCAAAATTGCAGATGAGTCTGCTTGTTTGAAACCCACAGACTCTATGATGAAGAGTTCACTAAATAATTCTAAGCTTCAGTTATCTATACATTTAGCAAAAAAGCTTCAGTATTCCAGAGTCAATATTTTTTCTCACCTTTCCATTTCTCTAATACCCAAAAGTATTGGTACATTCTTGGGTGCTCAGGATGTGTTGGTTGAGTCCATGAAACATTGTTGTCTTACATAGTACAGTATGTCTGTTCAATTAAGAAAAAATATACTAATAATCTAAAGTATTTCATTCTTCACTGTATCAGTTCTTTTCTACATTGGGACCAAATAGTTGATCAAAGCAGGAAAGAAGGATTTCTGTTGTCTAACAATTTGTGAGTCTAGTCTGTCATTGTGCACAAGTCATGGTGGCTAGAGCTTGGGACAATTGATTATATTGCATCTACAACCATGAAGTAGAGAGAAGTGGAGGCTCATGCTCAGATAAAGTTCTTTTTTTTATTCAGCCTGACACCCTGTCCATGTAATGGTGCCACCCACTTTCAGGATGGGTCTTCCAACCCTGCTAACTTAATCTACAGAGTCTCTCCCAGGCCTGCTCAGAGGCTTGTCTCCTCAATGATTTTAGAACCTGTCGAGCTATCAGTATTAACCATCACACCAACCGTGGGTGCTGAGCTATGCTATCATCTTCCTCATGGTACCTGGCACACTGGGTCAACAGTAAATGCTGAGTGAGAATTTCTTGGCAAGCTGAGAAGTAGGGATATGGAGGCAAAAAGGACAGGCCTAAGATAGTGCATTTCTTATAGTGACCAAAACAGAACATGTCTGAGGGTAAGACTTAACTTATTTGGATGGTGGACTCTGAGGAGACATGTGCATACACCAGCGGGGTCTCTTAGGTTCAAGAAGAGAATTTTTAGAATGTCTATATTTTCATTTTATAAATTAAAAATAATTAGGCTTAGTAGAGTTCTACTGTATGGACGACTACAGGCCCATTGTTTAGGGGACCTTCTGTTTACTCTTGCTGCTTTGTTTTCATTCAGTTCATTGAAAATAATTCTTAAATGTTATAGTTGTTGACATGAGTTTTATTACTTGGTTTAATCATCATATCATGAAGTGGCTTAAAAATTCTTGTTTTTTGTTACTGTTTCATTTTTTTGTCTTAATTTTTTTCTTTTTTCTTCTCTTATATGATACATCCTGACTGCAGTCTCTCCTCCTTCCCCTTCTCCTAGTATCTGCTGCCTCCCTTGTGCCCCAGATCCACTGCTTCAAAGTTTTCCTTCAGGGCAGGCCTTCCAGTGATATCAACCGAACATGGTATAACAAGATGCAATAAGTCTAGGTATAAACCCTTATATCAAGGCTAGATGAGGCAACCCAGCAGAAGGAAAAGAGTCCCATGAGCAGGTAAAAGAGTCAGAGATGCTCCCTTTCCCACTTTTAAGAATATAACAAAAACCCCAAGCTAAACAAGCATAGCATGTATGCAGAGGGCCTAGTGCACATCCATGCAGACTCTGAGCCAAGCAGGCCCTGTGATTGCTTCGGTCTCTGTGAGCCCAGATGATTCCATGGGTCGTGTTCTCAACCCCTCTGATTCCTACAATCCTTCCTCCCCATCTTCTGCTGGGTTCCTTAAGATCTAGCTAATGTTTGGCTGTGGGTCTCTGCATCTGCTCCTATCAGATGGTGGAGGAAGCCTCTCTAATGACGACTGACCTAGGTTATGGTCTATGAATATAGAAAAATATGATTAAGAACCATTTAATTCCCTGTGTTCAAGTCTTCTGGTTCTGTTGCTCTCTCCAACCAAGGACTATTCATGGAGATAACCTAGAACCCTGCACAGATGTAGCTCATGCCAGTTCAGTGTCCAAATGGGTCACATAGTAATGGGAAGAGGGACTGCCTCTGACATAATCTGATTGGCCTGCTTTTTTATCACCTCCCCCTGAGGGGGGAGCAGCCTTACCAGGCCACAGAAGATGACAATGCAGCCATTCCTGATGTGATCTGATAGACTAAGATCAGAAGGAAGGAGAGGAGGACCTCCCCTATCAGCGGAGTTGGGGAGGGGCATGCGTGAAGAAGAGGGAGGGAGGGTGGGGCCGGGAGGGGAGGAGGGAGGGGCTTATGGGGGGGATACAAAGTGAATAAAGTGTAAAAACAAATTCTATCTACCAAAAAAAAAAAAAACATTTAATTGACTTTTTAAAAATTTTGGTCAGTTGTGTTTGGGTCGACCCTAGTCTCTGAACTATCCAGCTTCTGGTTTCTGGCTATCCATGCAGTATCAGGCAAGGGCTCCCTTTCCTGGCTTGAGCCTCAAGGTAAACCAGACATTGGTTGGTCACACCCACAAGCTCTGAGTTCCCATTGCAGGCAAGATAAATTGTAGGTTAAAGGTTTTGTGGCTGGGTGTCCCGGGTCCACCACTAGGAGCCTATCCCAGTTATAGAAGATGGCCTGTTCAGGCTCCATATTTTCCATTTTGAGGAGACCTTGCTAGGGTCACTCTCACAGCATCCAAGAAGTTTCTCCTATACTAAGTTTCTACCTTGTCCCCTAAATTCCCACTTATTCCAGTCATCTCTCCTTGTACTCCTTCCTTTTGTCCCTCCTTCCTCCCTCATGATCCCTCCTTTGGAGAAATAAGAATTAAAGTGATTATAAGTGATGTAAGCACAAATTAATAACAAGAAAATGGCAAAATATCCTTTTCCTGTACTAGTATGCCATCTTAGTTAGTTAGAAGGAAAAAGCAGTGGTGATCATTGGTAAGCCAGGTCTGACACGAGTATGCCAAAACTTTCTGAAATATTCAAGATTATATGAAACACATTTATATACCTGGTCATACTAACATAATTTTATTTGGATAATATGTCTTAAAGTACAAATGTCATGATATTTGAAAAACTAACTCATGACCTTAAACATTTATTTAAAAAATTATATTTCTATATTTATTAAAATTAATTATTTGAAGAGCTAGAGAGATGACTCAGTGATTAAGAGTACTTGTTCTTTCAGACGACCTGGGTTCCGTTATCAGCACCCACATGGTAACTTACAACCATCAGTAAGTCTCCAGTTCCAGGGGATCATAACCCTTTCTGGCTTCTGCAGATGTTGTACATATGTGGTGTACTTACACACATGCACACAAATATCAAAACATGATGGCACATGCTTGTAATTCCAGCACACTTATGAGATGTATGCCTAAGGCTCATGAACTTGAGGTCACCCTGGGCTACATAGTGAAAACCTGTCTCAAAAATGTTAGTGATATATTAATCTGTATAAATTGAAACAAACATTTCTATACTTGTGTATATGTGAAAACTATTTCACTATATGTACTATATGTACTGTGAAAACTATTTCACTATATGTACTGTGGCAGAGAATCATGTTAATGATCATGTGAATTGTTCTTGGTGGGTTTGGTAGTATCATCATGTCACACTGCTGTTCACATTTCTGCTTGAACCAGGAGCCATCTTAGGAATGTGTGTCATTTCTCACCATAGTAATGGCACAGCTAAGAGGGGGATGGATCATTAGAAATCCATCATCATGGGTGAGTTAGAAATGAACTCAGACCACACATCTTTCTGAGGTCAGGGATTCTTTTCATCATAGAAAAAGGCAATACTTAAAATAGAACGGAGTTTTGAAAATTTGTGTCAGGGCATTACAGAACCACGTGAGATTCTTCATATGCTTAGAGGTCAACAGAAAGTTAGGAGTTCATTCTGTTAATGATTTTGTTATTTTAACCTCACAATCACCTTGTGAAATAGGGAACATACTCATTGTTTCATAAGGAAAGATAAGCTTAGCTGACCTTCTTGGGCTCATATATTTAGAGAGTATAGAAATAAAGTAAAAATTGGATGATTGGTATTAATGAATATTTTGATTTTGTTTTCTGAAGGCCAATAATACACAGAAATAGGATCAAATCATCAGTAATTTGAAGGTTGCCATTTCCAGACATAATAGGTGGAGGGAAGGTCTTTATAGGCCTTGGGGCTGGAAACTTCAAGCTGATTTTGCTGGTGTTCATTGGCCTTGCATTATCCTTGCAAACAGTTTTCCAAAGGTGTTTTCAGGAAATCAGATAAGGCCTGAAATGTAATAAATGTTCATTTCTTTTAACAGAACCATTGCCAACTATTTGGTGTGGAGAATGGTTTATTCCAGAATTCCAAACCTCAGCAGGCGCTTTCAATATAGATGGCTGGAATTTTCAAGGGTAAGTTACCAAATATTGAAATGTTTCAACAGTGGCCAGCTGGGACAGTCAAATGTTAGCTAGTCCAGTAAAAAAAAAAAAAAAAAATCAGCTTTGGGAATGGGGTGTAGGGAGCTTGCAGCCAAAACTTTAAACTTTTTGCATTAGTTAATTTCATTCAGGTATATCTATGTTCCATAAAAAGTACCCCAACCTCTACTGTTTAATATTATTTAGAGTGATACTTTGGGCCATCAAATCTTGTTCAAATGTCTCTCCTTAACAACACATTTCTACTTTTTCTTAGTGCCTTTAACTGAAACTATGGTTTTGATGTTTCTTAATGATACATCGCTTTCAAACTGGTTCAAATTTATTTTAATTTCTTTACATTTTCATGGGCAAACACATGATAATTGTGTATATTTATGGGGTTCACTGTGATGTTTTGATCTAAGAATGCATTCTAGAAAAATTCAGCCAAGATAATGAACATATACATAATTTCAGCAGTATAACATCACTTCTGTGTTGAGAATGCCAAAGGTCAGTTTTGTCAAAACGGAAATACACAAGTATCAACTATAGTAAATTTATACCGTATGACAAACATTGTATGATCTCATATATATGTTGAATATGAAATGCTATATCTAAAAAAAAACTTAGAGCAGGAAGGTGGTTACTAGAAGTTGGAGGGCAGAGGACTGGGAAAGGGGAGATGTGCATCAAAAGGTATACAATTTCAATAACTCTGGAAAGACGCAGTCTGACTATCTACTTCACTATAACTATGGTTTTCAAGATTTCTCCATATTCTAATTATATATCAAGAGAATGATACAACTTCATTTTAAGTTTGATGTTAGGGTTGAATATTTAAATTTACTTAGATAGTTAATCTTGAATCTATCTTAATTCTGCTAGACCCATTTTAATTTCTTCTGCTGATATCCTCCTTAAATGCCTTCATTCATTTTATTTCCCCCACTTCCTTAGCCCCTGGGTCTTTGTTTCTTATCCACTTCTGTTGCCTCCCAACTTGCACAGACAGATGTTACCTTCATCTGTATTTCTGAGGCTTATGACTAATTCTGCTATGGCTTAGAGGACGTAAGAATTTTGTGGCTTTAAAAAGTATTTTATTTTTTCTATCAATTTAAATAAAACTGAATGTTAAATCTTATAAGTTCGTATTTTATTTAATATACATTTTAGTTCCTAGAGAAACTGGAAAATACAGAAATTTGTGGTGGACTTGGAGAGTGATAATGGTTATTTGGGGCAACTTTTGACTCTTTACAGTCACTAGAATATAAAGTTACTTTATAGAGGCTAGATATGCATGAAACAATTACTTATATTTAGAACAGATCAAATAACTAAGATACAAACCAAGCAGATATTTTTGCTGTGTGTGTATTTTAAACTCCTATGGATTTCATAAAAGATGGTACCCAGCTGCTTTCCACCCTCACTGTGAAGAGAATGAGAGAGCGAGGTGTAAGATGTAGTGTGTGAAAATTTGAGGTTAGGTATAAGAGGATGTTTCTTGAACATGAAGTGCTAAATATAATGTTGAATTGCCAAAGAAGGTTGTAGGATCTCTTTCTCTGGAGGTTTTAAAAATAGCTTCATCCCTTACCTCTGAGAAGGGTCATGTTCCCAGAAAGGAAAGGAAGGAGAGATGAATTTAAGCTTTAATCCCTTTTGCCCCACTCTAACAACCTGGCTCCAAAATTATGCACAGGGTATTCCAGGTCACTATTCTCAGGGCCTCTCTCTTTCACTGTCTGCCTGTACACTTCAGCCTCCAGAGGAAACTTACATGGCATTTATTTCTCTGCTTTCATCCCCAAGAGTAAACTTTGGCGCTTTCAAACCCTGCTTCAGAAGTCCGTTACTTGTTCAGAAATGTTTCCTATAATGGTATAACAGAACAGATGGGAAAAGCATTTACATCTGTATTTTACCCTGCTATGGCACTGCATAAATGGGCTCCCCACGTTGCTCACAGTGAGACATGGACTTCTGGTCTGCTAATAAGAACTTTGATTGCCCATGATTCTAAACCTTTCCTGGTAGAACTGCAGTCCTCAGATGCTACTAAGTACTGTCTGAATCCTTGTTCAGCATCCCTTTATGTCCCCACTTGATGCAGAAAAGCTGTGCCATTGCCCATATGTTTTGCTTAATGTCGAAGATAGGAGTAAAGCTGAAATGTATTGTTTTCCCACTGTCAAAACATTTTCATTTAGTTGGAGCTAGAAGATAGGAACAAGCAGAGTTTCATTTTCACAGTCTGCTTTCACCTTGGCCTTTCCTATCTGGCATCTATCTTAGAAGGGCTGGGTAGTGTTTTGTAGACGGCTTGACTTCTTTTTCCCCGAGCAATACATTTCATTCAGAGCTCAAATTGTACCGATTCTTTCCCACAGGTAATCCAGGGGACCACAACTCTGCTGCCTCAGTGGGACAAGTGTGTTAATTTTATTGAAAGTGCCCTCCCTTATGTTGTGGGGAAAATGTTTGTGAATGTTCATTTCCAGGAGGATAAGAAGGAAATGGTAAGTGGAGCCTCTCAGATGATAAAGACAACCAGAATAGTGATCATCTAGGCACATTTGGCAGGCATGATGATCCAATCTGCCATCTACCTTCCAAGGTGGAGAGATCCATAGGCATTTGCTTCCACTTCTTTGCATCTTTTCAGGGATACAGGAATAAAACTCATCAAATGTGAGGCAGTGAGCATATATTGAAGGTTTGAGGAGAGAGAATGTATGCAGTAACTCTCCAAAGCAGTGAAACTAAGGACATTTGATATGGCTGCTTGGAGCCAGGTGAAATCTAAGTTTAGATGAAGTTCAAGATCATGAATATTTCTCACTCTGGTTACATATTGTCCATTTCTTTCAGCTGCTTTGAAGAAGATATATATATATGTATACATGGATATATATGTATGTATACATGGATATATATATATGTATACATGTATATATATGTATATATATTCAGCTTTACTGAGGATCATTTGACATATAAAAATTGTATATGTTCAAATATACAATATAATGGTTTGGTACAAACTGGAAAGTGATTACTACAGCAAAATCAACACATTTCTCACCACATTGACTGTGGGATGATATTCTGTGACACTATTTCTGAGGAGCCATGAACAAGTGTCTACTCCCTCCAGATAGGGAACTGACATTAGACAAAGCAAATGACACCACCAAAGTCCAGCTTAGTGAACCAATGAGTTTCACTGTGGTTATTATATGAATATGGGTGAGAGGTTACATATAGGAGCAGGAATGACTGAAAGCCCACTCCAGCATGGGCGACTGCTCACAAAGACTAGAACCCTGGAGCTGTCTGCGTGAGATGCATGCAACTCAACAGGCCAGAGTATCTTTGGGGCAGCCAGCTGCTCTGTGCCTCTTCCATACAGCTTGGCTGTTTTATCTTTTTCAGGCAGCTTGCCTGGTTTCTGTCTCCTCAGCAGTCCTTTTTGATTATGTGAGCTTAGGGAAGGAGGGGCCTAGTGTACCTAGTCAGTTTTGGAACTTTCCAGGTTTCAGAGGTGTTTACTTTTGAGTCCTAAGGAACCTCCATTTAAAATTTCCAGTCTTAAGCCCCACTTCTTTTTAAAAAAAGAACTTCTCACATCTTAATGAACTTTGAATGAAACTGGTACACAAAATATGGATACTTAATATGGACTCTCACAAATTTGTACCATACAACACATTGTTAATAACTAAAGTCACCATGCTGTGTGTAAGATCACTGGAACTAAAAGGCAAAGAGGATGGACATCAGAAGAAGGAGAAAACAGGGAACAAGTTAGGAGCCTGCCATAGGGGGTCTCTGAAAGGCTCTGCCCTGCAGACTATCAAAGCAGATGCTGAGACTTATGGCCAACCTTTGAGGAGATTGCAGGGAATCTTATGAAAGAAGTAGGAGTTAGTAAGACCAGGAGGGGACAGGAGCTCCACAAGGAGATTAACAGATCCAAAAAATCTGGGCACATGGGCCTTCCCTGAGACTGATAGTCCCAGAACCCCTGCACAAATGTAGCTCATGACAGTTCAGTCTACTAGTGGGTTCCATAGTAAAGGGAACAAGGACTGTCTCTGACATGAACTGATTGGCCTGTTCTTTGATCACCTCCCCCTTAAGGGGGAGCAGCCTTACCAGGCCACAGAGGAAGACAATGCAGCCACTCCTGATGAGACCTAACAGACTAGGATCAGAAGGAAGGAAAAGAAGACCTCCCCTACCAGTGGACTTAGGGAGGGGCATACGTGGAGAAAGAGGAGGAAAGGAGGGATTGGGAGGGGAGGAGGAAGGGAACTACAGGGCGATACAAAGTAAATAAAGTGTAATTAAAAAAAATTAAAATAAAAAACTAAAGGGAAATAAAAAAGTAAAAAAGAAATGATGGAAAAAAATCACTGGAACTTATATATCTTATACATTCTTTTTTTTTTAAAAAAAAAGATTTATTTATTTATTATGTATACAGTATTCTGTGCATGTACACCTGGGTACCACAAGAGGGCACCAGATCTTGCTATAGATGGTTATGAGCTACTATGTGCTTGCTGGGAATTGAACTCAGGACCTCTGGAAAAAAAGCCAGTGCTCTTAACCTTGGGGTCATCTCTCCAGCTCCTCATCTTATACATTCAAAATATGAAAGTTTGTACCATTTGACCAACATCTCCCAATCCCACACTTTCTGCCACTGGCAACTACTGTTATGTTCTCTGTATCTAAGAATTCCCAAAATTTTTTTTTTTTTTTTTTTTCTAGATTCCACATATAAATCTTATCTTTCCTCTGTGTCTGGCCTATTTCACTTAGCATATCCTCTAAGTTTATCTATGTTATTGAGAAAGATAGGATTTTCTTGTCTTATGGCTAAGTAATAGACACACATCATAATTTCTACTTATTTGGTCACTAATTACCATTTAGGTGATTCTATATCTTGGTTATTACGACAAATGCTGCAATGAAAATAAGATTGAGCTGTGTTTTGAAGACCTTTCTTTTTTCCCTTTGGCAAGATAGCCAGTGGTAGAATGGCTGGGTTGTTATGGTAGTCTTGGTTTGAATTTTGTGAAGATCTTCTATGCAGTTTACCTTGATGGCAATGCCAATTCATATTTCAAACAGCAGTGTGCAAGGTTTCTTTGTTTATGCACTTTCCTGTTTTGACTTTCACATTAGTCATCTGAACAGATATGAAGTACTATTTTACTGTGGGTTTGATTTTTATTTCCCTTACTAGCTACATTTTCATACATTTTTAATATATCTTTTGGGTATTTGTATGTCTTTGGAAAATGTATAGTCAGGTATTTTGTTCATATTTAGTTAGGCCATTATTATTGATACTTTTGTGATTAGTAGTTTATTTTTGAGTTATAAGTCTGGACTTAACCACTTTTGTGTGGATTTTCTTTGTATGAATTACATTTTACCAATGCCAGTAAGCAAAATATCTATGTATGGTTCACTGATTAAACAATGAATTATCAATCAGATGTAAACATATAAGCATAGTGGATACAGAGAGTTTAGAACCATTGAGTTTAAAGCCAAACACACAGTCTAATAAGCCATGATGGTTCAAATGGTGGATGTTATAGTAGTGATAATAATACCAAATGGTGGGTGTTATGTATCCTATACTGGAGTTTACTTTTAACTACCACTAATCTAAATACATCCTCCTTTGTTAATTTGTTTTTCCTATCTTTGGGGGAATTTCTGTCAAGGTTGATACCTTTTTTTTTTTTTTTTTTTTTTTTTTTAATAATCAGGCTTCTTCCAAATAGGTCCACTGAGAAATGAAAGCTTTGTTCAAAAATGCTCAGTATTCCTTAAATGTTTTTGTTTGCACTTTGGCCAGAGTAAATAAATGGAAACCTTATAAAATAATCACGATGATATTACTAAAATCTCAAGAGGATATAAATACAATGAATGAATAAAAGAGTCGAAATAATGGGAAAGGTTTGGCAGACATATTTAACTAATACAAAAAATAGTAAATTTATTTTTCTCAGTTTTGGTGTACATGTCCTCTTTTCATGTCTCAGGGTTTAACATTCTAAAATTAGTTGGTTTTGGCACTTTCTCCATTTATTTTGATATACATAAGAGTAGTATGTTAATTATACACATATTCACCTCTTTTACACAAAATAGTTTGCTTCCTTTATGCCCAAAGTATTTGCCTGAGTAGATACTTAAGTTCGAAACTTGTAAGAGAAAAAAATCTGGCTTTTTTTCTTCAGTGATCCCATCCAAGAACCACTTGGAAACACTGATGCACTTGTAAAAACTATCTGTATTATTATCTACAGTCCAAAGAAAAAGGAAAATAAAAAGAGCCACCTTGGGGCAAATTTCAGAAAGTCTAACTTGGATTGAAAAACTTCAATTTTTTATTTACCACAATGAATTTGTTAAGCAAATGAATATGATCAGAAGGTTAAAAACATCAGGTACTTCTGAAACCTTAGCACATGATCAAGTCATGTGGCCTTGTTAAAATGCAGAATCCCATTGCAAGATAGCAAACCCACCGCATTTTAATAACAGTTCTCTTTAACTTGGTTCAGTCTATTGCCCCAGTTTCTAGCAAGTTCGCAGTTCCTGCTGCTGCTCTTCCAGGTACCACACTTTGAGCAGCAAGTTCCTCATCTCACTCAGTAGAAAATATCACTGGAAACAGAAGCCACAATGATTCACTGGAGCAGGTCAGGCCAGGCCAGCTGGCTTGGACAGTGATACTTTGTTTCTGCAAACGGTAATAGTGTGAGTGATACTTCAGTTTTCTGTCCCTGAAAATCTCAGTTATTGAAATTGTGTCAAATCCTGTGTGAGGGCCTCTAGAATTGTGTCCTACACCACTTCCCAAACTATTTAATTTGCCCTTAAAAATTGTATTTTTTTTCCACTGAGAGATTCCTGTTCTTTACTGTTTCTTGAGTCTCTCTATGGCAGGGTTGGCTTAATGGCCTCTGGCTGATAGCCTCTGACATTTCTGTTATCTACTGTGGCTGAGAGGGAGCAAGCAATTCATTTCAAGATTTCTTTTGTAGAGGGAAAGCGACTCCTTCCTCATTCCCTTCCTTTACCATAGCTGTCTGCTTCTCCTAACCTACTGATCTACTAGAGTTGTCTTCTTTTTCACTGGGTGGCAGGGAATAATTACACATTATTCTTTCCTTATGGTTTTCTTTTGTGTGTGTCTTTTTTATTTTGTTTGATATTTTTTTGAATAATTGTTCTTTTTTTGGTTCTTGTTTACTTTCTTCTTGTTGTTTTTTCAAGACAGGGTTTCTCTGTGTAGCCTTGGCTATCCTGGACTCATTTTGTAGATTAGGCTGGTTTTGAACTCACAGAGATCTGCCTGCCTCTCATGGTGCTGAGATAACAAGCATGATTTATTTATTCATTTAACATCCAGATTGCATCTCCCCCCACCCCCGACTCCCAGTCCTCCTTCGCTCATAGTTCCTCCTGTTTCCCACTCTCA